ATTCTTCCGTACGAAGCACGAGGCAGGGATGGTGCGTGAGAGTAAGTCTCCGCACTCAACACCCACGTTCTGTGTCAGAAAGCCGAACGGCAAGTGGCGCATTGTTCATGCTTTTGACAAGCTAAATGCGGCCACTATCCCGGCGCAAACGCCGATTCCTCGCAAGGATGTTCTGCAGAGCAACATGGTAGGCTGTACGTTGTACAGCGCGCTCGACTTGGTCGATGGCTACTACCAATTGCTCATGAGAGCGAGCGACATTCCGCTGACAGCGGTGAGTACTCCTAGCCGTATGCTCTGGGAGTGGCTGGTGATGCCCCAGGGGCTGTCGAACGCACCAGCAACGTTCAATCGTCTTGTGACGCAGTTGTTTAGGCCCCACCGGGCGTACGCTCGAACGTACGTTGACGATATATTCGTCCATAGTCGTGCTGAGCACGGAAAGTCAGACGTGGAAAACCACATTGACCACTTGCGAGCGGTGCTCGAGTGCATGCGCTTTAATAAGTTGTATGCCAACTTGGATAAGTGCGTCTTTGGCGCGGAGGAAATACCTTTCCTCGGGTGCTTCATTGGGAAGCGTGGCTTAAGGGCAGATCCTGCCAAAGTCAAGGCCATCGTGGACTGGCCGGTTCCCAAGAGCCAAAAGGACTTACGCAAGTGGCTAGGCTTAGCCAATTACTTGCACAAGTACAGCGCGAACTACGCAGAGATGGCTCGGCCATTATCAGATCTCCTTAAGAAGGACGCACCATGGTGCTGAAACGTCGAGCACGACGGAGCCTTTGAGGCTGTGAAGGAGAGCCTCCTCCAGGCTCCGATCCTTGCGCTACCGGACCCGGATAGTCCGTTTAGCGTCGTCTGTGACGCCTCCGATTTTGCAATCGGTTGTGCTTTACTACAAGCAGACGCCGAAGGGCGTGAACGCGTGATCGCGTTTGAGTCTCGCCAGCTCAAAGCTGCAGAGAAGAACTATCCAGTTCATGACAAAGAGCTACTTGCAATGAAGTATGCTCTAGTCAAATTCAGGGTACACCTGCTAGGCTCTAAGCCTTTTGTGATCTTTACTGATCATGCGTCGTTACGCACTGCGACACAGTCGCCTCATCTCTCTCAGAGAATGGCAAGGTGGCTTTCCTTCTTTGCCGAGTATAGCTTCGAGGTGAAGCCCAAGCCGGGGCGACTTAATGTAGTGGCCGATGCGCTCTCGCGCAGGCCGGACTACGAGTTAGCTCATGTCACGACAGTGACGTCGTCAGTGCCTGACTTGATACGCGGAGCGTATGCACAAGACGACATGTGCGTAGCGCTGCTACGGGCTCTTGGGAGCGAAGCGTTTAAAGACTCTGACAAGGAATTGTCTGGGCGCTTACGCGCGAGGCTGCATCGATACTCGCTCGATGGCGGCCTGCTGTACTACAGCACCGACTCTGAGGACTACCCTCGTGTAGTCGTTCCTCATGATGAGGATCTAAAGTATCGAATCCTCTATGAGGTTCATGATACGCCCGTGGGCGGGCACTTAGGTCGGAAGAAGCCCAATGGCTCGGTGAGCTGGATGTACTGGTGGCCCAAGATGTATAAGTGGGTTGGCACCTATGTACGCACGTGTGAGACGTGTCAACGGACAAAGTCCGCGCCGAGCACGGCAGCGCCATTGGCGAGTTTGCCTGTCCCCAAGGGATGTTGGCAGTCCATGAATATGGACTTTGTGTTTGGCCTTCCCAAGGACAAGGCAGGAAACACGGGTATTGTGGTCTTTGTAGACCGATTGAGCAAGATGGCTCATCTAGCGGCGGTGCCGGACACCATAGATGGTGAAGGTACAGCTTTGCTGTTTTTAGACCGTGGCTGAGGCAATTGTCTCGGATCGAGACCCGCGCTTCACCGCGAAGTTCTGGACGTCCCTCTTCAGAGTGCTTGGCACTCGTTTGGACATGTCCACAGCGGACCATCCGCAGACCGATGGTCAAACCGAACGCGTGAATCGCGTTGTAAAGGATATCCTCCGAAGCGTATGCGCTGAGGCGCCAAAACGCTGGAGCCAGATGCTACCATTTGTTGAGTTCGCATAAAATAATGCAGTGCACGCCTCGACAGGCTACACTCCGTTCTGTGTGAACGGCTTGGTTAACCCTCGCGTCCTACTGACGCCGCCACGCAGTGGCTCAGGGCTTGATGGGGGAGGGATAGCCGAGCGGCTAGCTGATGTCAGCCCTGTTGCGGTTCGCAAGCAAGTCAATGACTTTGTCTCTTTGAGACTGTTTACCGCCCTTCTGCGGAGGAGATGAAGGAGGAAAATCTTAAGTGGCTCCCAGACGAACATCGGGCTGCTCTGAAGCTGGTGGAAGGAGAATCTGATGACTACATCCATGCGCTGACGGCCGGAGAACCGATTCTAGGCTCAAAGACCTTAACAACGTGGTTTTACACGAAGAGCAACATGGAGCTTCCATCCAGTGAGCAAATTCACGTGCTGGTGGTGGTTCCGGAGCAAGGGTCCTCGGTTCCAACAGTCTCTCAAGACGGTGTATTCGACCACTGCATTAATCCATTCTTCTTACAATTCCGGACAGTTGACAAAGTTGGTGATTGGCTCGAGTTTTCGTCGTTGCTGCCGCTAACGAGACGTCAGAAGCTCTACGTTCGCTCTTCGTACCAAGTGATCGCCAACCATGCGCTGTTCAATCCAAATGTGGGCATGGTCAAGTATGCTGTCGTCACGGGCACGCCTGGGGTTGGAAAGTCGGTGTTCGTCTACTATGTCCTGTGGAGATTGATCAAGGAGAAGAAGCGCGTGCTGCTTTTCGACAACAATGGGCTCTTTTACTTCGATGGATCGACGATGCTGATCTGTCTGGCGTTGCCAAGCAAGTTTAATGAACAGTTTTGGTCGCCTGATCTGTGGTGCCTTGTTGATTCGATGGACCCAACAAGTATCCCTGGGCTTCCCTACCGGCTATGCTCAGTTCTTCTCGCAAGCACACCGCGACGAGACTGCATCGGTGAGTTCAAGAAGCAGCCTCCTACTGCCGATGTTTTCTACATGCCACTGTGGTCGAAAGAAGAACTGGCGACAATTGCTCCCATGTATCCACATGCAGCAGCTGTGTGGGAGAATCGATTTGATTGCTTGGGTGGTGTACCTCGCCTGGTGTTGCAAGACATTGAAACTGACCCACAAGCTTTGCTGATGTCCGCATGCAGCAGTTGTTCTCTCGATGATTGCATTTTGTTGGTGTCTATATACTCTGAGATCAACTCGAAGACCACGATCGTTCAGACTTTGATTCACATCCACAGCCAAGAACCGTATCGAGAATACAAAGTCGTCTATGCATCAGATTTGGCGATGCAATTGATTGTTCGAACAAAGTGGCGATTTGACCGCGCGAAGCTGCAAAGCCTTCTCGGTTCGTCAGATGGAAACCCGCTAGCACATTCACTGTGTGGATACATCTTTGAGTTTTATTCTATGGATCGGCTGGAGCAGGGTGGGACTTTCGTGTATCGAGAGCTGTTTTCTGGAAAGAGGAAACGCACTCCAGCTGATGGTACAATCGATATTCCACGGTCATCGCAGCCTCGGCAAGTAGCGGAGCGTGTGGAAGTCGGTCAACATGCAAAGCAGCTATACGTGCCTGGGACATCGAACTATACTGCTATTGATGCGTGGATGCCGCAGTTCGGTGGATTCCAGATGACTGTGGGAAAAACGCATGACATCAAGGGCGGGGCGGCGGATGATTTGGCGAAACTGGGTCAGAACGGCAATCGACTCTTCTTTTTGCTTCCACCACTCTACTACAAAACTCTCACCAAGAAGACTCCTCAAACCATTAAACAGTATGCAATCCTTGTTCCGTATCCCGAGGTGCGTAATGAATTGAGTGCTTCAACGCTTCAATGACATCAGCTTCTCTTTCATGGCCTACCAAGATATTTTAAAAATATTACTTCGTGATCTATTCGTCATCGGAATAACACTCAATTAATTTTCATCCTGATAAAAAAAAGTTAGTTATATACTAAGATGACGTACTCACCTGAACAATACCTCGCTAACAAAGAACATAAAAAAGGCAGCACAGAAGCGCTACTACCAGCGCACACGCGACGCTCGCTTGTCATATCAAAAGAGCTACGACGATAAGAATAGAGACCAAATTCGAGCTCGCAAGCGAAGCCCAAAACCGAACTTATTGATGACAAAACAACGAAACCGAACTTAATGAATGAATTAATTTTTTTTCTCAAATAAAAAGTCAATCCCAATATAGTCAATGACAATGGCTTAAAACCTCCAAAAAGGTATAACCCAACTATCTTGAATTGGAATTGATCTCAGAACCTGTTGTCGTCACTAAGATATAGATTCGAGCCTGGCAGTGACCGCCTCTGGATCTTGCGATGTCATATGAGCCACGACCCTCCGGGCCAAGCAAGGACATAAGCTTAGTAAGCGCGTCCTGCTGCGCCGGGGGCAAATTCGCGAACACGGGGTGTTCCATCTCTCGCAGAGGATAGTAGTCAACCGTACTCAGGAGCGGGATTGAACCAACAAGATGCTACCAAGTGCAGCGGGGCTGCCGTCGCTCTAGCGTCAGAGGAAGACGTTCGACTCAAAGAGTCACCAATACTAAGTTCCTTATCCTAAAGAGACACTTACAGCCCAAGACCAGGGCTCAAAGTTAACACCTTAACTTTTATGCTTCAAAACCAGAAGTGTTTTATTTACTATTATTGCGACCAAGCCGCCTAGGGGTAAATGTATCTGTTTAACTATCTAGCATAGTTAAACCTAATCAAATGCATAACGTGTGGCTTTCGGCCAACGTACTGAGAGACCTTGTTAACTCTCCAGCTTATGTACTGAGAGTTTGTTAGCTCTCCGGGTACTTCGTACCCCTGTGTGTTCCACACTTATGTAACCCCGTTACACTGTCGCTATCAACAGCAAGGCTGATATTCGAAAGAAGGTCATTTCGGAAATTCGGTCTATGGAGTTGGCTGACAAGCTGAACTATCCCAGCTCGGGATATAAGCTTAAGGCGATCACTGCATTCAAGATTTTCGTCTACCATCGCGACCATGCTCTTGGGGATAGCGACGCTGTTATTCCTAAGATTATCCGCGAAAACAAGCATGTAATCAACTTCCCTAAGACCAACAACAAGTGCGTCTTCCGCTATATCGCCTGGCATACATTCCAGAGCCCTAAGAAGGATCCTCGCAGAATTCAGGCTCAGGTGAAGGAGGTATTCAAGCGCTACTGCTCTTTCAAGGGGGTGAAGTATACGCTGAGTCTATTTAGAAGTTTCAAGCCTATTGACCTACTACAACTCGATGAAGTTGAGGACTGCTTCCAACTCGGTATTAACGTATATAGCATGGATGTAGCTTCCGGAAATGTAGAATGCATTCGTAGATCGGACAAGGGGTATGAAGCTATGGATATTTTATCGTTCGAGAATCATGCTCTTTACATCAAGAACTTTGACATGCTTCAGGCTAAGTATCAATGCCCTAAGTGTGCAATGGTTTTCGTCAGCGCTGAAAGAGTAAAAAATCACAAAAAGAATCAATGTGAGCTCGTGAATATCGAAAGCTTCCCAGCTGAGCCAACTATCTACAAACCAGCTCAGAACGTAATACGATCACTGCTTACGAAGTATTTAATCAAGAATACTGACCAGTACATCGATCACTTCATCGTTTATGACTTTGAGGCCATTCTTAAGCCTACCGCGACTCAACACGGGGAGAATACTGTCTTCACGAACGAACACATTCCTGTGTCGGTATCAGTAGCTGATAGTTTAACCGAGGGGGTGCGTTGCTTTGTAAATGACGATCCAAAGATGCTACTTACGGAAATGTTCAATTACATTGGTGATGTATCGGCTAAGATTCAGCAGTACAATGTCAATAAATATATGTCGCTTCTACAAAAAATCATCAATGCACATGGTCTGACAGGTATGGAAGTCCCAGGCGCTAATTCTGATAAAAAGTACAAGATGTCTGATGTGGAGAGTTGGATTGAAGAGGGAAAGTATGCCAGCTTCTTTGACTTTCACCGCAGTCTTGGTTTTGGTAAGCAAAGGTCTGATTATGGGAAACTGAAACAGCAGCTTGACCAGGTACCAGTATTCGGCTTCAATTGTGGTCGATATGATATTTGGATTAAGAAAGATTTGTTTGCCGTAATTGGTACCGACAACGTCAAATCTGTCATCAAGAACCCCAGCTACATGTGCATTGCTACATCGGACATGAAAATGCTTGATATCACTAACTATGTACCAGCTGGTACCAGCTACGACAAGTATCTTACAACATATCTCGGTGGCTGCAAATGCGATGACAAAATTAGATGTGTCTGTGGTCTTGGTAAGGGTCTTTTCCCTTACGAGTACATCACCGCGTTCAATGTTCTAAAGCAGACTACTATCCCGCCTAAGTCAGCTTTTGATAGTAAGCTCCGTGGAACGAGCATCACGAGCGATGACTACGAACGAGTGAAGTTCGTGTGGGATTACCACGAGATGTAATCGATCAAAGACCTACTGATCTGGTACAATAATCTCGACGTAGTCCCTTTCACCAAAGCTATCAAGGCTCAGCGAGAGCTATTTAAGCGCTTCGATCTGGATATGTTTGCGGATGGAGTGTCCCTACCTGGTCTTTCAGAGAAGGTTATGTATCAGACCTGCTTCAATAATCTCCAATATCCGGATAAGAAACCTGCTAACGCATTCCGCTTTCCAGCGAAGCGCATGGCTGGCTACAAGAGTCAGGATGCTAAGGCAAAACGAAAATTTGGTATGACGCTCGAGCACGTGAATACATTGCTGCAAAAGCAAAAGTATCTGTGTGGTCTATGCTATTGTCAGCTGACTGCTGATACCGCTTCCGCTGATAGAATCAATAACAATCTTGGGCACACTGATGGCAATATCTTGATCAGCTGCATTTCATGCAACACCGCTCGAAAAGATATGTCTCTTCGGGGGTTCAGATACAAGAAACTGCTTGATTTTAACGCAGACAGATTGGTGTTTTCGATTGACAAGGAGGAATCTGAGATTTACGGGAAAATGAAACATTGCTGGTGGACCATCAATTATATTCAGCAGGTATGCTAAGCGAAACGAGACGAAGATTCGTGGAGCTAAGATCTGCAAGAAAATTATCGGATACGACGCTAACGCTCTATACCTATGGGCCCTTGGTAATGAGATGCCATGCGGTCGATTGACTACGGTTGAAGCGTATGATGGTATCATCGATGACATCAAAGCAGACAAAGTATTCGGCTTTCTTGAATGTGATATTCGAACACCAGAATACCTTAAACAGTACTTTGGTGAGATGACTCCAATTTTCAAGAATGTACTGATCGACTGTACGAATGAGAGCGTCATTGGTAAGCACATGTTCGAACACAATGAGGCGCGCAAGCAAAGCCGAGCAAAACCAGCTCGCAAGTTGATTGGTAGCTACTTTGGTGAAAAGATTCTCATATACGCACCTTTGCTGAAGTGGTATCTCTCTCATGGTTTGGAGATCACCGAGACTTACAGCTTCATAAAAGCGAGCTCCCATAAAGATTTTGCTCCATTTATGGAGGCTGTATCAAACGCCCGGCGAGAGGGTGATGTTGATAAGTCTAAGGCTATGATTGCCGAGATGATGAAACTGGTAGGCAACAGTGCTTTTGGTCGATCTGGCATGGATATGAGCAAGCACAAAGAGGTTAAGTATGAGTCGAGTGACAAAGCTATTAAGAACAAGATCGAACACTTTACGTTCCATGGTCTCGAGGAGCTTAATGATGCGTGTGAGATCACGATGAAGAAGCGCCGACTCAATAATAAGAACCCAGTCCATTTGTCGATTGCTATCTATCAGCTTGCTAAGCTACGCATGCTTCAGTTTTACTATGACTGCATAAATTTCTACTTCGATCGCTCTGACTTCCAGTATCAGGAGATGGACACTGATTCGGCTTATATCGCTTTCAGCTGTGATAATCCATTTCAAGACTGTATTAAGCCTGAGCTACGAACCCACTTCAAGGAGCATAAATACGATTGGTTCCCACGTGACTACAACACTGAGGTAGCTAAGTTTGATCGCCGTACGCCTGGTTTGTTCAAAGATGAATGGTCAGGTGATGCTATGGTCTCACTATCGAGTAAGAACTATATTTGCTACCTACCCGATGAGACATACAAAGTAAAGGTTTCAGCGAAGGGTATTCAACAGGGAAGTGGTCGAAACAATGGTGTTCTTAATCCTGATGGGTTTGAGACTGTCGTACGGGATCGCATCACGCTACAAGGTACAAAAAGGGGTTCAGACTATCGAAAGAAACTAAGTCTATCATCACCTATACTCAAACCAAAACAGCGCTTAACTACTACTATGACAAACGTCGAGTACTTGATGATGGTATCACGACTGAACCACTTGTAATTTAAGCAGCTAACCACTGGGAATTTCTTTAATGTAAATATAGATCATGGACGCGCTATTAAAGAAACTCTACTATGACCCAAAAACGGTTTTATAGGAGCTCAAGCTCTGTATCAGAAAGCAAAGGAGTTTAATCCTAAGATAAATTTCAAAATAGTAAAGGATTGGTTTGGGAGTCAGCCCGATATTCAACGATTTCAGGAGCAAAAGAAGAGATTCAATGGTTTCAAAATAGCTTCGCATAACCCCAACTCGTGGCAAATTGATCTTGCGTTTTGGAAGAAACGGCCAATTTTGACTGCTATCAACATCAACTCAAGGCTGGGGTACGCAAAGCTCTTACGAAAATAGACGGCAGCAATTGTGTTAGAAGCGCTTAAAGCGTTTGTTCGTCTCCACAAAGTGGATATCCTAACAAGTGATAATGGTAGTGAGTTCATGAACTTACAGGCCCAAGAGCTCTTCAAACCCAAGACAATTGAGCACTACAACAATGAGCCAGGTGATCATGGAACTATGGGAAGAATTGAACGATTCAACAGAACGCTGAAACAGAGACTAACTAAAATGTCCCCCAAGAGAATTACGCAAAAGCTTATCACTGATGTTATTGAAAACTACAATACCACGTTTCACCGTTCGATTGGTATGACTCCAAATGAGGCAAAAGGCAAAGTAATGAATGCAGATCTGAGTCATAATCAGGTGGAAGCCGATAGAATTGAGAAGGAGTTTGACGTCGGATCAAGCGTATTGTACCGTCTCAAAAAGCAGACGTTTGATAAAGAAGCTGCTCGATGGAGCAAAGCAGTCTATAAAATCGCTGGAATTGATGGCTACCGAGTCCAAATCCGTTCAAAAATGGTCATACCCTCTACTAGGCGCCAAACGATCTTAAAATGGTCAACACAGAGACTACAGATGCTGTTATTAATCGTGGCGATATTCTTGAAGCTGAGAAGATCTTGGATCATAAGACGACACGGTCTGGGAAGTACAAATATCTGATCAAATGGCTTGGTAATGAGCCTGATTCCTGGGAACCTCAAGATAATCTCCAATTGATAAATAAGAATCGGAAGTCGATGCTAGAAAAAGAGTACTGGGCAAAAAAAACACACAAATGAGTCATAATTAGCTTTGTGTAAAAATATATATTAGAGCAATCCTCTGTAAGCTTTGACTCATTTATAGTATATTTACTATTTTTAATTAGATTATTGAAATTTCTGACTTGATATATATATAAACCCTTATTATAAATATGTGCCCCAACTGTTTAAAAAATAAACGTGAGCTTGCTACGCTACGTCGAAAGCTGTGGGTCATGCAAGAGGTGAGTAGAGTCAAGAATGAGTTAATAAATCTCGATGCATCAGCAAACTTTCGTAAAACAGTAGTAAATCGAAAGTATCGACATGAGTTGGAAGCAATATTTGGAGTTCCATTCCATTGCATTAAGGATCGCTATCTAAATCTTCTAAATGAGCGGAATAGTATCTGTCATAACTATCAAACCATTTAGACATGACTCAGTTATGCCGAGTTTGTGGTAAGGGAATTTAACACTACTCATTTTTTTATGATTCGTTTGATATAGCAATAAAATGTTTCCTTCTTGTACATCGCTCGCTCAGAGAGAGCAAAAACGGCGGGAGCTTCTTGAAAGAGCTCAGCGCCGCGTTCGACAATCCAACACTAAGCGTCAGATGTATGCAGGAACGTCATGGGCAAGTGATATCACGAATGGGGTTACTACAGTCCCAAAGAAATCAACAGAATCAACTCAGACCGACTCATCCGAGTCTGCTGAGTCATTAAAAAAACACTGATTGATGGATACTCCCAAACAAACCCTGAGGTCTCAACACCCCGCTTCGCCTCACGTCGGAGCGACAGCTCAACTCCAAATGTTCGCCCTGTGATGATCGATGTTGGAGTTGATAGCGGCGTGCAGATGGTAGATAGCTCAATTAATACTGATCGTGTTAATCAAACTGATAGAAATATTCAAGCGAGACCTCAAACATCTGATGTTGGTATCGATAACACACAGCAAACAGCTGATGTTGGAATCGACAATGCTCCAAGAATGTTAGATGCTGAAACAAACATGAAAAGCATGAAAAACATGGATACCGAAGATCAAGTGGAGGCGCGATCAAGGATTAAGAAATTGTTTACCGCCAATCCTAATTGGGTAGCGCTTCGAACTAAGCCAATTAAGCGTAAAACCGATAAGGATGACAATAGATACTTTCTTGGTGAAAAGGGGTCATTAATTGCAGCCAAAACGGGTAGAAAGAGTAAGACTTATTAATCGATTGACTGGGTGGCTACAGAGGAGAAGATTAGGGACATCTGGTATGATGGCGAAAGTAAATCAATCGATGAGAGCAGTTATATGAGACTTGAAGACCCTCTTTATCACGTTTCACTGACGAGAAAACGAAAAATCGCCGATTTAAGTGAAGGTGATGATGCATTCCGTTCAAGACAACGTCTTGAAGACAGCTTCGAGTTTGACACATCGACGTCAACCTCATTAGATCAAGTTGATAGTAGGAATCGATTGCTTTGGTCTATTTTTAAGAATAAAGCAGTGCTTGAGTCGGCTGGTTTGAAAAAGAAAATCATTCCTATCCTCAAGAGTATGAGTAAAACATCTGAGGTTGGATAGAACTGGATGCGTGTGGATTGATGGTTCATCAATTAGTGTATTTGGTATTGATAGTGAAAGAGTCAAGCCAGCGATTACTAAGAACGTCGATTGGAGATCTACATTCCAAAAAATTATTGATTTAGTCAAAGATCGTGGCGATATCGATCTATTTACTAATGAAGACACCACCAAACTTGCAAAAGCCTTTGAGCCACGCGATGGTGAGGCTCGGCATAGAATTAAGCTTGGAATTGATGAAGATATGAATAGTTCTCTAACTAATGCTGATAACGATGCGAAGAAGATTCTCATGGTTACAGCAAAATAGCATCTGAAGGAGTTCGAATTCCCTTTAGACTGAAACCAATAGTAGATACCAAAAGTGGTGTGAAAGCTAATCAAAATTACTACTTTAGTGAGCCTACCGCAGCAAAACCATTTTACATTAGAAACCACGAAAACAAAGCGGTTTCTGGCAAGGTTTTCAACGATCTTATGAAAACCATTAGATGGATGGATACTTTCAATAGCCTGATGACCGGGTTTGAAGACATAGAGCGATGCGTCTATGAGAATGATGATCCAGCATTGAAAAAAATCTCGAAGCTTATCTTCAGCTATTGAATCGAGCGATCCTCGACAATACAAAATCGACAGATACATCAGCTCGAATCAAATCCTCAGAGGGTACTCAATATCGCGATGACACTTTGCAAAAACTCCACGATGAGTCAGAAGCCGCATTCCAAAAGTATGGCGAAGCTCAGAGGAAATACGATGAGGCGAAGCGAACAGTAAAGGGTAAGAACTCAAAATCCGCAAGATCAGCGTTGATGGCGGCAACCGCTGCCATGAAAGCGACCAAGGCTGTCTATCAAATCAAGGCTAAAAGCTACTCCGATGCTAAAAACTACACCGAGGTTGATCAATTCAGTGATCGACAAGACGAGCGCACGGTTCGCCAAACTGTGAATAACATGGTTGATCGAGTGGGGTCAGCGGTTAAGAGGAATCTTCAGGGTCGTGGGTTAAGAGGAGCCGGTGTTGCTCCACTCGAAGGTGTCGTACGACGCGGTCGTACATACAACCTCAATGAGATTCAAGGCTTAGCTACACCTTCAGCTTATGTATAACGTCAGCTCGGAAGCAAGTATATCCGAATTCCTGACCTTGATAACAAAACCCTTGTCATTATTCAGCCTAATCGCCGCAAATGCGGACCCAAATGTCAAATCAGTGATAGTCTACAATCAATGATCCGAACTCTTGTGTATAAAAATCATATCGATCAAGCTTCATATGACAAGCTCAGTATCGATGATAGAAAACTGTTCAAAGAGATCCTTGCGATTACACATCTTCAGTATAACTTCCATGACCACCTCGAGGATCCGTTAGACTCTCTAAGAGCTGAATATGACAAGCTGAAAGGAGAGCTTGAATTAGGCAATGATAATCCTTCAATTATCAAACAGCTTAAGAGTCTCTCAGTGGATATGTACAGCAACCGTCTAATTTCGGATTCTGAGTTTAAGGAAATTATCACGCGACTACAATAACCATGTTCTTTTTCAATCCCCGAATTATTTCCAGCTCAGGCGGTAGATATGGCGACAACGCTGATTTCAACGTCGCAGAGCTAAAAGCCATCATGAAAAATTTAATCATCCATGACCGCCCTTAAAAGACCCAGGCAGCTGTTTGAACAACGGATCTTGACAAGACGCTCAAGAAAACGGATGCGTCAACCCAGACGGAAGGAGGAAAAGTATGGGCATACTCAACTAAAAAAAATCGAAGTCTGTAAAGACGTTTGCTATCTAAGCAATACCAGATCTAACAGCTTTATTCGCCATTCCGCGATATATACTAATTTTTTTCTCTCCAACATGTATTTCCATGACAGCATCTTCCCCCGTCTTCGCATCTCTGATAGGAACGAGTGCACTATCTCCGAGAGCTACGATCTGATCAGCGCGCATGAATGTGGAAGCAATTGCCTGAGTAGGTTCATCAGCAGTTAAATTCGATTTAAGATCTTTGCTTGGTACGCAACCCATTTCTTGTATATTATTACCAAAGAAACTTCTTAGCATAGAAATCCGCTGATGGTTCTGGGTAATCAACTTTGTGTCTCAGGTAGTATCAATGACGTCTCTCCTCATCATTATGATCAAGATGACTAAAAGCCTTCAGAGGCGTTTGATCCCGATATTGGGCGTATCCACGAGTCCCGAAATTAACCTTGCGCAACTTTCCCGTATTAAGACGTACCCATACTCGATACTTCTTGTTCTTCAAAGGGCTTAACTCCAAGCGCTCAATCCTCATGACTCTATATTAGCCAAACGATCTTTTAATCTATCTATCTCACCCAAAAGATGCTGAATCATCTTCATATTATAAGCCGATATTCGACTGTAATCAACGTTGAGCTGCTGCTTAGCTGGTTCAAGGCTTGGGTCTTCTCCCCCTTCAATATCATCTCTGTTAAAGATCCATATCAAATCAGTTAGATGGGCTGAGACCAAATCCTGAGCTATGAGACCGATTTCTTGTCCAGGCTTGTTTTCCGACTCGATCCAGTCATAGAGCTTGACCTCACAGCTATCGTAGAGCCGCTTCACACGATCAATTGGGCATGATTGAATATTCTTTTTAAGGCGTCGATCCGACGTCATCGCCATGGCTGTACAGGCAATGTATCCTCCGAATATACCCGCTACTGAATATGTGTTCGGGCCAAGAGCGGATTCTGTAGCTCCACTATCTGTTCTGAGGCGATACACTGTCGTTCCGCCTGCTCCAAATACAAAACTGTTGCTGCCAGGGACGTGCAGCGGAGCCGAAGGACTTGTAGTACCAAGACCAAGACGACCTGTGGTAGTTAGAATCATCGACGTCGAGTTATTGACCCCAAATTTGAGGTCGTTGTTTGTGATGTTCCCGATCCATGACGCGTTCGCTGTGGTTGATCGATTGCCATTATGGACTTGGATCTGGAATTGAACAGGAGTCGTATTCGACCCGGTTAGAGTCATCATTCGTGTGTAAGAACCATCAAGAAAGTCCAATCCACTACCAGTAATCGAGAATATTCATTCGTTGCTGTAGAGTTGATCCCAAGCTCTGTCAGCGATCCTACTGTTGTTATAGCTAATTGGTTTCCATACGCTAAAAACCCATTGATAACGCCGAAGCAGCTGATATCCCCACTCGTTGACAGATTATTGAGCGAGAGGGAAGTCGGAATAGATGTTAAAAAGCTTGATTGGTCATAATACGTCGAGTCCTGGCGCAAGTTCGTGCAGGTCAGAGTAGTAGCCGCTACCGAACTTAGGCCTCCGATATTCGAGCTTGAGTCGCATAATAGGAGTTTATTTGGCGTTGCGGTACCAAAACTAACTCCGTTTATGTATTCAAAAAGGCCCAAATCGTATATAGTCCCGTTCTGGCGATATTCTCGACAATCGATGTAGCTTGAAGTGCCTGTTATCGATATCGAGTGCGATGACCCACTGAACGATAAATTTCCACCGATCGTAAGACCTGATTAAGAGCCGAGAGACGTTATATTTGGTTAGGATCCGGTTTGTAGCGTTCCAGTAATAGTAAAAGCTCCAAAGCTATTAATTCCGCTGATATTGCCGGACGAATCGAGAATCAAAGTTTTGCTGTACGAAGCAGTTCCCGCTATTACTCCGCTAAGGTAGCCCATCCTGTAATCATCCTTGCTCAAATATAGTGTCTGCGCATAATCGTATGTTAGATAACCACTCGAGTCTAACGAAAGATAGAATGAAGGATTATAAATGGATGATTGAAATGTAGGCTGTGGATGTGAAAAACCGGAACTCATTTTGTTTAATCCTATATAGATCAAACGATTTTAGTCATGAATGCTATTCCTGACTTTGGGGCTTCGATTCCAAATTTTTTTAAGTCTGCTTCGATGGGTGATATCCCCGCATTGGATATGAAAGCTTTGTTTAGAATGGTTGTGCTCGGTCCAAGCTTTTCAGGAAAGAACAATCTTTGTATGTTTATTCTCAAGCATTCTCCTCACGTATTTGCTCATCTAACATCATTGCTCATAATCCTCATCAGGAGCTTTATGAGTATCTCCGGGAAAAGTTGGAAGGATTCATCACATTTGCTGACCCAGATAGCCCTTCTAAAGTAGATCAGGTGCGTCATACTCCATTAAGCTCTAACAAACCGGAGCTTGTTATCATCGATGACTATAGCAATGATAAACTACTTCAGAAGAATATCTTCTCTCATTACTATACACGTGGGGGACACTTTAACCCAATGAACGCCGTAATCTGTATAATACGTAATATGACATGATGCAGGTTTAAATGAATCAACAGCTTGGACGCGGCGTCGTTTAGGCTACTACACCGCATATATAAGTTTGTATAGACCACCATGGGAGTTTTTATCATTACCGATCGGCGAGGGGGAGATAGAAAGGTATTATTCAAAACACATAGAAAATTCGATATAAACGGCCTAGAGGTTTTTAAATTCTAATGCAAGCCCTTTAGCTCCTCTCTGCCCAAAACCTCCACCACTCAACCAAAAATGCCGGAAACGATTGACAGGAAGGAGTTCAAGCGTCTGTGGGGGTCGCTAAAAAAGGCTGGTTGGCGGGCAAGACCCCCTTCAGGCCTCCTCTCCGATCATGCGTATCTCAAGCCTGGCGTGAAAGGAAAGCTAGACAACTACAAGGCTGACACTGATTACTTTATCGGTACGTTGTGTTTAGCAGTAATAACTACTCCCTCTAACCCTGTGTGGTGTAGGTCCCAAGCCTTTGTGGAAGTATGCTCTGCGTGAGGGTCTAGTACCTTTCCCCCCTCAACAATGTATGATACGTCCGATGAGGCCTCCAATGGGGAAGCTTGCAGCGTACACAGCAGCCAAACGACAAGAACCAATTCCCCCCACCACAAGTGACGGCAACTTGGACCGTCAGTATTCTCCATCCCGCTCAGAGCATCAACATACTGTCGACGTTACTACGGAGGATACAGAACAAGTCCGACCGATTGGTGATGATATTGCAGAGGATACAGAACAAGATCGGTCCTCCGTTTGTGTTACTACTGAGGATACAGAACAAGTTCAGCCGGTTCGTGTGGCTATTGCCAAGGATACAGAACAAGCGAGGTCGATTGTAGATGATACAGAAGAAGGCCACTTTGTCGAAAATACTGGTATCGCTGGTACAGATCAAGAGCTATCAGTTGTTGAATGTATTCCGGAGGATACAGAACAAGCTGGACCAGCGGGTGTTCATATTCTGTCGGATACCGAATTTGACGACACGGCATCCGTGGGTCACGGCAAAGAAGAATCGAAACGTGGCAGTGGTGTTGCGAATGGCTTGGATGAATTTGATTGTGATAGCTATATGGATGCGTTACGTGGAGAGCTGCTCTTTGATAAGATTGATCCTGCAGATATCAACGTTGGATATGGATCCGCAAGTGATGTTAGTAGCGAGTTGGGTACTGAGGAAGAACTGGACGTTCCTGCGGAGCCTAAATCAGTGTATGAAAGCGAGGTAGATTCTGACAGCGACTTTGATGACAACTCCAGCGCGTTCCTGCAAGACGACACCAATATGCGTCAACTCACAGCCACAGGTTGGGATATATACGATGAGCATCATTCCGGTAAGTGCAGCACATACAGAATTGCGGATCATATCAAAATCTAATTCTGTATTTTACTGAATACAGGTGATGTGGTGTTAGATGCAGCGGAGTTGTACGACGGAAGTTTTGGTCCCACCAGATCTGCCGCTGCGTTCGCCGAGTCTCCTTTGGGAATTTTCTTCTATTTTCTTCCCAAGAAGATGTGGTTTGCGTTTGCAAAGGAGTCTAACGTATCGAGAGGAGTGTATTCCTGCTGTGGCGAAGGCGCAACGAGACAAGCAGCTACAGGCGCAGCGCAGGGATCCTGTGAAGTCGGTTCAACCTCTTGAAGTCTTAGAAGAGCAGCTGCGCAATATGAAACCAATTCAAGCACATGAAATTCTCCACGTGATTGGCCTTCTGATTGCTCGTACACTCTGTGGTCATACGGATGGCTTGGAAAAGCACTGGGCGACGCGGGAGGACGGTGCAGTACCACGCGGTACCTTCTCCAGATACATGAAACGTGAAAGATTCCGGTTAGTTACCAGGTACTTGCACTTCACCAAAAACGACCCTGCTGCCGCAGGCACAGACAAGGCTTGGAAAGTTCGGCCCATTCTTCAGGTTCTTGAAAAAACGTTTCATCGTGGCTATCGGCTGGGGCCTCGCATCAGTTTTGATGAAGGAACCATTCCTAACAGAAGCAAGTTCAACCCTGTGCGCGTCTATAATAAGGAGAAGCCTCACAAGTACGGGACTAAAGTGTACATGACGTGCTGCGCGGAGACCGGATACTGTACTCGGTAGGTGGCTTACTGTATTCTGTGTCTGGTTACTCTGTATCGTACAGAATAAGAAACCGAGTGCTTACCGTATGCTGTATTGTGTAACATATAGGATGGAAGTGTATCTCGGCGCTGTAGAGTACTCGAAAGGTGTGGCACAGAAGGCAGTCATCAGGAACGTGACAAAGGCGCTTGATGGCCAGGCCCATAAAAGGCTTATCATCGCCGACAATTTCTACACGTCGTGTGCTCTATTGCTGGAGTTATTGGACAAGGATCTCTACTACGTCGGTACTCACCGCAACGAGCGGCTTGGGTGGCCCAAGCCGTTCAAAAAGTACTATCGGCAACTCTTCATGAGTTTTGCGGACATGGCGATAGTCAACGGTTTTATTTTACATAAAATTATTCTCAAGCAAAAAGGGCTGCCAGTGCCAACACACGCGCAGTATATGCGCCGACTTCATACCGAGCTTTTGGCCACGAACGAAGCCACACTGCGTACAAACACCAACACCGAGGACCTCGTTTCTGAGCCTATTCACACGCAACCGCACAGACTGCGAAACAATGAGGAAAAATACAAAGGCAAGAAGCGAAAAAACCCCAGAGATGGATCAACCGCCAGCAACCTCCAGCGTAAAGGGCAGAAGCGTAAGGGCAAGCGCCGCCAGCACTTGTGCAAAGTTTGCTCAGCCTTGGCAACTCCCCAGACAAAGAGCTTTGAAACCAGTTACTACTGCGAGCAGTGCACATCAAACTTCGGAGGCTACGTACCTCTATGTAACAAGGTTCGCCACGAGGAAACCGGCAACACGCTCACATGCGGCCAAATATGGCATGATTTGTGGCGCAACGGCACTGCCATCCCTGCTCATCTCAAGAAGCGTATTCGCTTCCGCAAGCGAAAGAACTTCGATATTTCGAGCGACAGCGACGACGGCGGCAGCGACGCGAATGGTGATTGCGTGGATATCCAGGATAGCGAGTAACTAGGCGTAGATAATGCAGCCCGTACACTCACCAATTTTTCGGCCAGTTCTTGCCTAGTTCTTCTTCTACTCTTGCTAGTCTAGAACTGGCCGAAAATTTGGTGAGCGTACGGGTGACGTAGTGGCACGCTTCGCCAGTCATTTAGGCGCAAACGCAGATTGCCCAGACCCATCAGATTCAGCGGGATACTCGAAGTAGAAGGATATGCGACGAAAGTCACGTCACATTTGCCCAATGAAATCATGACATTTTACCAGCCGGTGGGCACATTGTTGTTTTTCTACGACAGATTGCAGTCTATATGTACCTGGTCGCAGCGTTTTCGCTACATCCCATTGCGGACGGCTTGCAATGCATTAAGTTTGCAAAAGTGGCAGCTATAGTTTAATAAAGATAATCATTTACTCTGTATTATACAGAATATCGTGAAGCGGGCATTGGGTTAAACTCTCAACCATATTCCTAAGCCACAGCTACTTTGCCACTGATAAGATGATTCGGTTGAATTCAGAGTACGTAGCGATTCTAAAAGCGAATTCGAAGCGCGATTTACAAGTGGTTGTAAAGGATTTTAACATTAAAGGCGTTGATGAGCGATCAATCGTCTATTACTACAATAAAGCCACGGAGCGCAAAGGACATATGCTGTTCGTGGATTCAGTCAAAGGTCAAATCAGATACAACTTTGATCGACCGATAGATATTGAGCAATAACTTTAGAATATTTTGTTTGGGTGAATCAATATACATATACCATGGCAAGTTTTGTTAAACTCGATTCCACTGACCTCGTTCAAGACAATTATAACAGCACATGGAAATACAGCTTTCCTGGTAGTGCTGCCGATTTTAAGGATGTGGTATGCGCGGTTTAATCGATTTCGATGTATAACTCTGAATACAACATCGATGCAACTCAGTTCCTGAATAACTCCTTCAAAATCGAGGTTCCGACAGTTGGAGCCACATCCACTGTATCTGTTATCCTCCCTGATGGACACTACAGCTATACCGATATTAATCGAAGCATTCAGACGGCTCTCGTAAATGCTGGAGAGTATTTAATTAATCCATCTGGTGAGAACGTTTTCTATATTCAACTAACGGAAAACAGTGTGTATTATGCTGCTCAATTCGATTTTAGCGCTACTCCAACGACACTTCCTACAGCCGGTGGCACTTGGACACGACCAGCAAGTGGGCTTTATTCGTCAGGCGGTACTGGTTTGCCAACAACAACGCGTGTCACTCGCATCATCATTGATAACGCCTCTTTTGGTAAAGTAGTAGGATTGACTGCTGGTACGTATCCTTCAGCGTCTGCAACGGTTTCAAGTGCTCAGCTGTCAAATACCATTCCTCAGATTCACCCAACCTCGAGCTACATCGTTTGATGCGACCTGATCAAAAACGAGTATGTTGCCTCTGGTGATATCCTTAGTGCGTTTGACCGTGGTGATGCTCAGGTAGGTCAATTAATCAGCTATAAGCCGAGTCAGTATGCTTGGATGAACTGTCATAACGGCGCGAGAACGTCTATTACGATCAGTATTTATAATCAAAACGATCAAAAGGTTAAGTTCCGTGATACTTCTGTCTCGATCATGTTGTTGTTGAGGCCAAAAAAATAAGCATTCAATGATTTTTTTTCTCCCAATCCGCAGAATAGGGTGGAACTAATTTAATCGAAAAGAGCCAGCAATCATTGCTTTCTTACGTTTAGCACGGAGTGCAGCCATCTGAGCCTTCATTTCGGGCGAACCTTTAGCTGGTTTCTTAGGGACTCCTACACCATAGCGTCTCTTTACCTCACCTCGAACCGATTTGATCAGGTTCTCATGCTCTGGCTTGGTTGCTTTTGATAGTAGAAACTTCTCGCCTGCATCGAT